AAACCTAAATATTTCCCAAATTGGATATTGGTTAAATTACCTTATTTATTTTAAAGGGACAAAAGAAAAAGAAAATTCACAAAAGAATGTGAAAATGAAAAAATCTACAATGTTTCAATATGGAAGGCAACCCCGCAGAGGTTTCTATGAGTATTCTAAACAATTGTTAGCCCTCTGTAGTAATCTATTAAAACCAACCATCCATTAACAAAAACCAGAATCCAATTATCTTGCACAGACAACAAAGGGTACAGGCGAAATAAAATGATAACATAATCCCTGGTTTATCAGGCACATAGTGTGCTAGAAATGAAGGGAAGGTGACAGAGCAAACTTTTTTTAGTAGAAAGAATTGAGAAAGTAACACAAACCCTCCACGATGGTGAAAGTTTCAATAAATAATAAAAACATAAAAGGCTCAGTTTATGTTCCAATGAGCATAGCAAAGAAGTACATAACGGGAACGTGCCTGAAATGCAAAAGAAACAAGGGGAAATGGAAATATCTCCTCTCTTCAAGTATCATCGATCAGTTAGACAGAGAAATTAGAGCTCTGCACAGCCCAATTAATAAAGTAAACTAGCAAATCAGGAAGGAGAATTAAATTGTAAATCAAGGAAATATACTCTCTTTAGAAGACTAGAAGGGTCTTTCACAAAATTTATCCCATTCCTGAGTCAAGGCAAGTCCTCAAAGACAAAGGCGATTCTACACTCCTTGTTCTCAGACCACCAGGAAAACAGCTATTCGTTGGTTCTGACCACTTTGCTGCAGCGCCATGGTATGAATAATATGTATCGGACATTTCTGTGAATTCTCTTACACAGGCTCTTAGGTAACGTGTGAGTCAGAGCTAAAAATCAGAAATGCATTGCTGGAAAGAAACAATATTTATACACAAAACCCAAATGGGAATTCCTAAGTGTTCTTGTAAACAGGAAAAAGAAATGGCGTGAACTAAGCCTACACTCAGAGAACCTAGAAGAGGAATGGGGGCCACAGTGGCTCTGATCCCCCTGGGACTGAGGGCTGTCTGTCTGCAGGGCTGCAGGTGACGGGGCTGCAGAGCAACAGCACAGAAGCTGTAGAAAGGCCTAGAAGTGCTCCCAATCTGTAGAAGGAGAAACAACAGCACCCTCCAATGTTCAAGACAGGTGTTGCAGAAAGCAGACCTACCTTGGGATCAGACTGTCAAGAGACGCTGCCTTGCCCTGCAGGGAGCACACCAGAGGTATGCAAGCAAAGGCCAGGAGAACTGCCCAGCTAGAATACTGTAGAGAGATTTCACACATACAGCCATGTCCTGATGGAAGGTGCTTTTCTTTGTTTTTTTTAACCCTGAAGTAGACTCTTCTTTCAATATATGACTGTTTCCTAATGTTTAATGAAAAGGAGAAAAAATACCTCACATGTGAAAAGGGACAGGGTTGTGAGTCCAGAGGCTTGGGTTTCCCTCCTGGCTTCCTCTGCTTATGGGGCTCTGTCTCAGTTCTCCTGTCTCTAAGGCCCTGCTCAGCCCTGGGATCCCAGAGCCTGGCCTCACTATGATTCTGCCAGCACCCCATGTCACCTCCAACTGCCCTTACCTTCAAGAATCCAGCGTCCCACTTGTGGCAGCCCTGAGGCCACATCTGCACAGACAACACCCTGAAACCTGGCACTGTGGCTCAATATCATACCATCCTTCCGTCCCTCTGTGGCCTGGATTTTCCAAAGAACACAGGCAGCAGGAAGAACACAACCTCAAAGAGGTTTTCAATCTAAGAAATGAGGTCCCCATCTCACGTAGCTGCCAAGCTGTCACCTGTGCAGAGTGCCACAGTGTGAGCCACTTCAGAGATGGCAGAGCTAGAACTTGAGACAGCCATGCTGGTACAGCCTCAGGGATGTATCTGAGGAGGCTGGGACACTCCGCCGGACTAGTCTCTTCTCATCTTGTCTCCTTGCCTGAAATCTCAGCCTCCTCAGGGTCACTGTGCTGAATGCCACGGTGACAATGCAAATGCCCACCTGGGTGCGGTAGTCTACCACTCCCACCAGGGTGAGTAAATTCATCAGTCTATGCCTGAGCCGGGCATCTGAGGCCGCGATGCAAGAAGGAACAAGACACAGCAGGGACAGCACATGGACACCGTCTCCCTGATGCCAGAATTTTGCTGGAGCTTAGTAGGGTTGGAATGGGGCTGGGAGAGTGCAGAGCCAGCTGGGGACTTGAGATGTAGCCACTGTGTGCTCAGTGTTCTATGCAGGGGACTCATACACTCCTGGAAAGTTGTTCTAATTATGCTCATTTTGCAGATAAGAATGGTGAGACTTGGAGACACTAAGAGTCTATCCTGGGTCAAACAGGCCAGGTGGGCATCTAACTAGAACTCATGTTCTGAGTCTCCCCTTCATCTGCCCCTCTTCCTGGCCCCCAGCAGCATCACCAGCAAGGGTACCTGGGAGACCCAGGAGCTTCCCAGCCCCCTCACTCTGCCCATGCCTGGCTCCACTTACCAACCCCTCGGCTGCTTAGACTCTTCCTCTAGTACTAAAATCCCACCCTTCATCCAAACGCTGCTTCCCTGATTCACCTGCATGAGCTGGTGTGGTCCCCCCACTGCACTCAAGTGAGGACCACTAAGTGTCACCTGTGTACTACAGAGAACTGTGTCCTTTCAGCAACTCCAAGACAAAGACTGTATTTCCTTCGCCTTCATACCACACATAAAATCTACAGGCCACAAAATCCTCCCTTGGGAGAAGAGGAATGAAGGAACAAATGACCATCGTCCTGGTCTGCTGCAGCTCCACAGTGACCAGTGTCCCCCTGGGGCTGGGACAACCACTCAGACCAGAGGAGACCCAAGCCTTCCACACAGCTGTGGGCAGCGCTTTTCGCACCCTTGTCCCTTCATCTCCACTGCCTTGGGAAGCACAGGATGTTCAGGGTTTTAAATGCTGCCAGTGTCTTCCCCTCAGTCTCTCCAAGAGACATTTGATTAGGGCTCCAGAAGGGTGGCAACAGAGCTTGCCCGGTGTTTACTAGCGGGTGAGCACCCTAGGTCAGTTACTGCCCTGAAGAGCCCCATGAGGAAGAAACCATTTCTGCCCCCATTCCCCAGAGAGGTAAACTGAGGCTAAGGAAATTCCATAGCTGGTAAACGATTGGCCTGGGATCCCAAGCACATTCCCGGCCTGCCCCAGCACCTTGCTCAGGGGCTGCAGGATGGTTCCTGAAAGTCTGTAATCTGGGGCACTTGGTGATTTCCCAACAAGATTCTGGGGAATCAGGCAGTGGGCCCAGTGGAGGGTGGTGGCACGCAAGCCAAGTCCGCTAGGGAAGCCTCCCGGGCTGCCTACAATGAGGTTTCCCCACCCCAACAAGATGCTGTCACCCTGACTCAGATCAGTAGGAAGTTGAGGGTTCTTAGAAAAATGTCACCCATAATCAGGGACAAACCAGGTCTGCCTCCTGCTGCTGCTGTCATGGAAGCTGCTGGGAGCTGCCGCTGCCCTGCCACCCCACTGAGTTGGGCAGGTGTGGCCAGAATGCATGCCCTCTAAGCCCTGCTATCCTCAGGAAAGTCACCTGCAGTCCACAAGAGTGAGGTCAGGTTAAAGTTCCTGTGCCTCAGTTTCTCTAAATGGCCGGAGGCTGTTACCTGTTGGTGGTCTAGAGCAGCTGAGTGAGCTGTGAGATGTCATTTCTCTTCCAGTCCTGGCCACCAGCCTTGCTCTGGGGAGAGTCACTTCCCTTGTCTGGGTCTCAACTTCCTTGTCAGTAAAACAGAGGGTGGGGCCAGATGCTCTTCAAGTGGCTCCAGCATCAGCCCACCTGACTACCAGCTGTTCCTCTCTGATCCAGAGAGGGGCCTGGTGGGGGAGTCCCTCCCTTCTAAGTGAAATAAGAGTGTTGGGCATAGGGACCATATTTCCAGAAAGGTGGTCTATACTCTGTGCCCTCTTGGAGGATTCACACACTCAGCCAGGTGTCAAAAACAAAAGCAAAAAGGCAAGAATCACCCTGTGTGTGAAGGCCTTGGGAAGCCTCTGAAAGAGAACAAAGCCTCCCACACACCCCTTACGTTCTAATGCGGGCACCACACTGGGACAGTGAGCTTCAGCACTTCTGGGGTCTAGGACTTATAATGGCAGCCCACAGAAAGGAGTGTGGCACCAGCTTCATATTTAGGACTTTTGTGCCCGGAAGACTCAAGGCCCAGCCTGGGAGAGGCCTAAGCCTCTGCATGTGTGTCTGCAAGGATAGTATGTGGGGGTGGGGGGTGGAGACTGCAGCGGGTAGCCCATTGTGCCAGCCCCAGCTTGTCCATTTCAGGCCTGCACAAAGATCTGGGGCAGCTGTGGGCCTGTAGGCTCCGAGGGCTCTGCAAGCAGAGATTTCTCTGGGTTCCCCCACCTTTGGGGCTGGGAAAGATGAGACTCACTCATGGTTGGCTCTCAGCTGGGAGCCCTCATGGATGCCAGCCTGTTAGGAGAATCTGTGCTGAAACACAGCCTGGCCAATGTGGCTGCCGTGTCCAGGAGGTGCTGGGAGGCCCTATCAGAGGACCAAGGCATGGAGTACTTTTTAAAGCCTTGCATTTTGTGACTTCCAGGAGTCCACAGGAATAGAAATTACCCAGAGTGAGTCTCAGTGATTCATCCAACATACCTGTCTTCTCTATAAATAACAGCCTGTGCGTGACTGCGGGGCAGGGCCAGGTTCTCCAAAGCCTGTTCTCACCATTGTCCAGTGAAGAGGTTGACAGAAACGTGACAGGCTTTAAAGCTCTCACTGTCCACAATTCTGACCCCTTCTGAGCCTATGTGATGGACAGTACCAAGTCTTCTTCCTGCTCCAGGCCACAGACCCCAAGCTGGTCTGGGAGCCAAGACAGGGCATGGGGCAGCCCTACCCCAAGAGAGGCCCCTGCAGCCCCCAAAGGCTAGATGCTGGGTGAGAGAAGAGGTCAGGCCAGGCCTCCTGGGTGCAGCTGAGAGTAGCACAGGGGTCCCAGAAAGTCCTTGCTGAATGGGCGTGGAGACATATGTCTTCACTCAGCCCCTCCTCAAAGGGAGCCTCACCCATGTCCCATTCTGGCTACCTTCTTTTTAAAAATGAACATTTTTGGCTGGGCACAGTGGCTTATACCTACAATCCTAGCACTCTGGGAGGCTGAGGTGGGAGGATCCTTTGAGCTCAGTTCAAGACCAGCCTGAGCAAGAGTGAGACCCTATCTCTACTAAAAATAGAAAAATTAGCTGAGTGTTGTGGGGTTTTCTGGTAGGCACCTGTAGTCCCAGCTACTCAGGAGGCTGAGGTAAGAGGATTGCTTGAACCCAAGAGTTTGGGGTTGCTGTGAGCTAGGTTGACACCACGGCACTCTACCCAGGGTGACAGTCAGACTGTCTCAAAAAAACAAAAACAGAAACAAATATTTCTACTGTATAACTGTTACTTGTTATTTGAATTTTTGAAAATATACACATGGTCCAAATACATATGTAGACATGTAGTAAAATGTCTCTGCCTCATGCCCTCGAATCTGGCTCTCACCTAACCCGCAGGGCACCGCTCATATTGCCCCAGAGTTTCTGTGCCAGCATCTGAGAAATGAGCTTCTCCTTTTCACCTTCATCTGACATGGACAGCAGAGCACTACGTGTGCTGTTTGCTGTACATGGTGACTTCCGCCACCCTTTTCTGAAGAGTGGTGCTACTGGCCCTCACCAAAGGAGAGATGGGGACCTCTTACTGGGGACATGTGTCCAGAGAGGGTTGAGCTCCTAAGGACTGGAGCAGGCAGAGACTCACCCCTTGCCCTGCTGCAGCTCCGGGTAGTCATAATAGGAAGAACTTTCTTTCTCAGAAAGTTTCCCTGAAACCTCCTGGAACTGGCCATCCTGTCTTGCCCACCTCTCATCATCCAGAACAAACCAGAGGCTTTTGGGTCTGGGCAGGTCTCTGCCTGCCCTCCAGAAGGAGATGGCCAAGCGATGGGGCAGAGGAGCACATAGCTCTGACTTCACCAGGCGGGGCAGCATCAGGGCCCCAGGCACCAGATCCTAGGGCATAGTATGAGCCATTCTGACCAAAGAGCTGCACCTAGGCCTCTCCTGATGCTGATTAGATCTGCTCATTCAGTGGCCAAAGACAGCAGCCTCCTGGCCCTTCTCCACTCCTGCCAGGTAACCAGGGCCCCCAAATCTCCTCCTGCCTGGGCTCCAGGGTTGAAAAACAAGGGGCTTCTCATCCCTGAGTGAACCTCTGGCCTCACCAGGGTTCCTTGTCCCACCAACTCTGACCCCTCCTTGACATCGCCAGAGGTCCCAGCTACCAAATTTGCATTTGGTTATTTCCTGGGGACACAGGCGGCGGGGCGGGGGGAGATATCCATATGATGGACCCTTTTGAAATATTTACATTCTCTTCATGATTCCTTTTGCATAAAGTATACTATTTCCTTTGCCCACCTGCCCATGGGGGCTGAATACTGTCTTTTACACTTCAGCTGTGGCGTTTCTATCCTTACTTACTATAAGTGATTCTTCCCTACTCCACTCTTTCCCACCCACCCCCATGTAGGGGAGATGTTTGTATCTTTGTTTTGCTGCATGGAAATTGTTGATTTGGGTATAATACCATAGAATGTACTTTTGTTCCTATGAAACCTTTCATTTAATTTTGATTCTTAAAAAAATTCTAGATGGAGGATAAAAATTCTCCTGCAGGCCCAGAGGCCGTAGCTCAATGAGTAGGGAGCCAGTCATATACACCAATGCTGGCACATTTGAGCCCAGCCTGGGCCTGCTAAACAACAATGACAATTGCAGTAAAAAAAATAGCCAGGTGTTGTGGTAGGTGCCTGTAGTCCCAGCTACTCAGGAGGCTGAGGCGAGAGAATTGCTTAAGCCCAAGAGTTTGAGGTTGCTGTGAGCTGTAACTCCATGGCACTCTACCGAGGGCAACATAGTAAGACTCTATCTCCAAAAAATAAAATAAAATAAAATTCTCCTGCAGTACTCATGGCCTGATAGGTGAGGGCTCCCAGGAGGTCCCTGACTGCCTTGGCCCTCACTCTTGCCATCCCCATTCTCCTGCAAAGCCCTTTGTCCAAGGGCCTCCTGTCCCAGGTGTAGAGGTCTGGAACTCTGCTGCTACTGCCATCAGCTGTCTTCCCAGGAGAGTGGTATGCTGGCTGAGTTTTTAGTTCCACCGCCTATCCTCCTGACCCTTCAATGAGACTTCATGACAGATGGTGACAGCACCCTCCACTGCTTACTTTGCATGTCCTAAGTATCAGTCAGTGGGCCACACTTTATAAATAACACCAGTTCATTCTCCAAACAACCTGGAGGTTACACTATCAATAGCCTCCTTTACAAGGGAGGCAATGAGCACAGAGAGCTGAGTAACGTGCCCAGGTGTGCGCCATGAGCACAGAGCAGAGATAGCTTTGGATGAGGGCAATGGCACCCAAGTCCAGACTTGTGTCTGGTGGGCCAGTGCTAAATACACACCTGCACCTCTAAGCCCTCCCCAGCCCAATGAGGCTGAGCCTATGAGCACCCCCACTTTATAGGCATGGAAACAGAGACCTGGGGAAGTTTAGCAGCTTGCCGGAGATAGCCCACTGCTAAGAAGCTGAGTAGCAGCACAACCACGCCTCCTGTGTCCACAAGGACCCTGTCCTCTGCGGTCCAGCCTCACAGCACCACCTTTTGCTACTCTCACCCCCTACCCACTGGCCCCCACCCCAGTGGAGCCCCTCTTTCCATGAAGACCCCCTTTCCTCTCCCCCTCTGCCCAGGACACCCCCAACCTGGGCCAGTCCCTGCTACTTCTCCACCACACCCCTAGGCCACTAAGCTAGTGGAAAATGCCCCAATGGGGCAAAGGGAGCCCCTCAAAATAGTGGTCTTAGGGTAGCCCCAACCCAGCCTCAGCCCTATCTGAGGCCACTCTGCATTTCAAGGCCCCTCCTCCTGTGCCTTGCCATCCACAGACAACAGGGCCTCCAACCTCACAGAAAACTCTGCATTCTCAGACACGAAGCTCTGGTCCCTGGTCCCACAGAGCAGCAGTTGGTTGTCTGTACCCAAACAACAACTGTCAAAGGTGTCTCCACTGCTTCAAGAAACTCACCTCTACCACCAGCCCGGCCCATCTGCCTCCTGGGGAGCCTGCTGTGTATGGGGATATTGAGAGGGCAGGGAAAATGTCAGAGGATGTCACAAGAATAACAACTCATTCCCTATTCTATAGGTTTTGAAGGTAGAAAACTACAAACTGGATGGATACTTGTTCTATAACCCAAGGTGACCAGAAGTCTTGATTTACATATTATATAATCTTTTAATTAGAGATCTCTGTAAAGATGCATTAAATTCTGTTACATAATGCACATAATATTACATGGAAGAAAAGCTATTATGGAAGGAAAAGTGTTCAAAGTTCATTAAAATAATTGAATCTACACCTCTTCTAAATGAAAAGAACATGGTATGAATATTTATAAGTCCAAAGTACAGAGACCTCTTGATTAGATGATATACCCAAAGCTCTGAACTGAAAAAGGTTTTAATTACAAGGACAGGCTCCACGCAGGGCCCCCACCCATCCAGCCCCTCCCTGTCTGCTCCAGCTGCCCAGCTGCATCTGCTTGAGACCCCATCTCTTAAAATTTCTGAATG